TTTTCTCTTTTCCTTTTCCTCTGACATAAAAGGGCATTGTGGCACAACAATGTGAATGTACTTAACATTACTTAACTGAAACTTTTAAAAAGATGTTGTCAGGCATGATGGCATACACCTGTAATCCCAGTGACTTGGGAGGCTGAGGCAGGAGGATCACAAGTTTGAGGATCAGCAATATAGTGAGACCCTGTCTAAATTTTCTTCTTCCTCCTTTCTTCACAAAGCCCACAGCTCCTGATTCTTACCGTTTATTCTCTTCTCTTATGTCTTCTGACAATTCCTCAGGACCTTTGTCTTCAAAAGTCAAGACTACAGTACTGGTGAAGCTCTGTAAATAAAGTATTACTATCATCAGTTTTTAAAAAATTTTTTTAGTTGTTGATGCACCTTTACTTTATTTATTGATATATGGTGCTGAGAATCAAACCCAATGCCTCACACATGCCAGGCAAGTGCACTACTACTGAGCCCTAGCCCCAGCCCCACTATCATCTGTTTTTAAAATGAGAATCTCATCATGTTACCAAGGCTGGCCTTAAAGTCCTTGGCTCAAGCCATCCTCCCTCTTCAAAGCTTTCTAAGGAGCTGGGATTATAGGTGCAAACCACCACCATGCCCAGCCTGTCATAATTAATTTTTAAAAGCACCATTTGCCTGCAGGAAAAGGGAAAAGAATGGAATGGTGTTTTAGTCAGCTTTTTCACTGCTGCAACCAAAAGACCTTACAAGAACACTTTTAGAGGGGAAAAAAACTTATTTGGCACTCATGGTTTCAAAGGTCTCAATCCATAGGCAGCTGATGTCATTGCTCTGGACTTGAGATAAGGCAGAACTTCATAGTAGAAGAGTGTGACAGAAGAAAGTGGCTCAGGACATCACACTAGAAAGGAAAGAGAGGGAGGGAGGTGGAGAGAGAGAGAGAGAGAACTCCCTTCACCACAGAAAAAAATTGTACCCCAAAGGCATACCCCTACCTCCTCCAGACACACCTAACTACCTACAGTTACCACTCAGTTAAACACTATCAGAGGATTAATGCACTGATTAGGTTAGGGCTTTCTAACCCAATCATTCACCTCTAAGCCCTCTTGCATTGTCTCACACATGAGCTGTTGGTGGACACCTTATATCTAAACCATAACAGATGGTAAAACATTTAGGCACAGTTTCCTGGTCAATGAAGATTCTGAGAATTGAGGAGCTTGGTTGAGAAATCTGGGAGCTGGTGGTTATATACAATATTGGCAATCATTTTCTTTGAGCAATAAAAGTAGACTCTACATAGCAGAGAATTTTCTCTTCCATTCACTTCCCCAGCTAACTGCCCAAGGGCACTCCCCCAGTGAAGGAAAAGGAAAAATATAAATTGAATTGTATATATATATATATATATATATATATATATATATATATGTATATATGTGTGTGTGTGTGTGTGTGTGTGTGTGTATTTCCCATCTGCCCTGTGGGGCCTGGCCCCTTCCAGCCTGGTGTTCCCTGTTTCCTTCTTCCAAGAGGGAGGCTTAGACCTGCTGCGGGGGCCATGGGTGGGCCACAGTGTGCGCCGCCCCAGGTCCCCAGGCGGCCCCCAGCCCCAGACCTCTGTGCCTTCCTGGGCTGGGAGGTGCCCCTCCCTGTGCTCTTCCCAGGCCGCTACCTTGGCAGCCCCTCCTGCCAGGCCCAGGCTGCAGAGGCCCAGCCAGGAGCCTTGTGCAGGACTTTCCCAGGGACCTCTCCACCCCGCAGTGCAGCATATATATAGTATAGCAACTATATATAGTTGTTATACTTCTCCCAGACCTTTCCCATTTCTGATTTCACCTGATCCTAAAATCCCCATAACTATGGAGACTGGAGCCTGGCGAGGTTAAGCACCTCACTCAGAAACAAAACCCTCTAATTGTCTAAGCCAGAGCTGAAACTCAGTTGCCTGAGTCTTGGTCCTATGCTCTCTTTGTGACATCACAACGCATTTACTTTAGCCTCCAGGCAAGACTGTTTGGAAAGCAGCCCAGACCCTTTTCTCTTTGTTGACACAAATTTTGTGCAGATCTTGGGTTTATAAAAGCAATGGCAAGTTGAAAAGGAGAAGAGATGCTAACTAGAGAAAAATGAAAGACCCCATTTATTTCACTCTAGAAAAGTCGACAACATAGAAATATATCTGTGATGGGAAAAAAGCTTCCATTTATTTTTGTATCATTGACGAGCACTTCCAGACACTGGAACCAAAACATCTCCTAGCCCCTTTTTGTTGAAAGCCTCAAGTTATTAAATAAGGTAGTGTGGATCCTCTGCTTCATTATTATTATAGAGCAAAGATCTGAATCTGAATGGAAACAGGATCTGTATATGCAGAGGGGAGAACCAGACTGCTAGGTGGGGTGAAAAAGAATCACTCTAATTTACTAGAAAGTTTACCATCTTTGAAATCTCATTAAGAAAAAGGCTAACATTTGTACATCAGCTCATGCTATTTGGGAATACATTATTGAAACTAAGGGTTGGCCAAGCACCAATTTTTTCTTCTATCTTTTGCTGATCACAATATGATCACTTCAGTGCTGATGATGCCCCCACTGGCTGGTAAAAAGTTGAGTGTCTAAACTTCTGGGAAACTTGATTGTCTGGGATTCAGTTGCAACTATGAAAGTGTTTGAAAAAAGTGGTTGAGTAGTAAAGCAAATTGTTCTCTCCCAGGTCAGTCCATTTCTCTCACTGGGACGATTCTCGAAGCTACCCTGGTTATATGTTCTCAGTGGGTGCCCTAAGTCATCATAAAGAGATTAAAATGTTCTTAAAAGCAGGAATGTTTCACCATGGGATTTGTTTCTCACAGTTAGCACATTAATGCTTATTTATGGGCATTGTGCCTACTACTCTCAGCTTCTTTTATTTTTGGCAATAGATTCTTTCAAATTTCTATGGAAAAAAAATGTTACAAATATGTTTACAGTTTCAATACGTAAAGCAGTGATTATGTTTTATTATCAAAATAACCTTGTGTCCCAGTTATACCAGAGAAATGAACAACATTGTTGTGCCTAAACACAGTCTGGGAGCTGCCCTCCACCATTCCTCCTCAGCATTGCTGTATATCGTACCATCCCCCTCAGACCTCCCTGCCTGGCTGAGATAACTCTCACATCATCCCCTCTCTTCCTGTCATTGTCTTGGACAGCTGCCCAATCTCTGGCCCCCACCTTCAAGGAGAACGAGTGACCTTAGGGCTGGAACTAGGACTGGCGAGGAGCCAATGGGGCAATGCCAGTATAGCTTCAAGGATTGAATCCTGGGAAAGAAAGTAAGTTCATTTAACTTATTAATAGCTCCTGTAAAACACCAGATGGGCTGGAAAGTCAAATCCAATGCCGTGAATGAAGTTTGTATATTATCAATGCATTTAAATGACCCATAATATCTTTGTCCTCCTATTACTGATAAGCCAAGCTGTATTTAAACAAATTGGCTCAGCGCTAGGGAACAATTTCATATGTGTTTGATGAAAGCCAAAGTCATCATCAGGTATATGCATTTCAACCCTAAGCAGGCAAATTTCTGACAACCTTCTTGAGATAAGTGGTATAAATAAATAAACATACAACTCTAACTTTGCCCAGCATTGCTTAGACCAAGCATCTTCCTTTGACTTAAGATTTATACTATGTGGTGGCTTTCTTCAAATAAGCCACCTTTTGAGAGAGTTATTAAAGTGGCTTCTAAAAATTAACTCTGATAATAGCTAATAGCAATGCACTTAGGATTTTTTAAGTGCATGCTTAACCATTGCAAAAGGGAGGGAAAGTGAGAAACCCTTATTTAGCACTGTCATATTTGAAAGTGCTTCTGAATTAAGACAAAAAAGAGGAATAGGTAATAAAGCAGGAATAGTTTTTGAAACATTTAAAAAAAAAAAAACCCTTTAACCATATGAACAGACACTGTGAACCTATTTTCAGTATGTTGTCCAAGCTAGTCTTAAACTCCTAGGCTCAAGCGATACTCCTGCCTCAGCCTCCTGCATAACTTCAATAACAGGCAGTACTTACTACACCCCACTTAAAACTGTTCTTCACCCACAATCACACCTATCCTATTGTTCCTGAACACATACATGGATTATATAACAACAACCCACCTCCCAATCCAAGGGTCATTTCCAAAAGCAAAAGAAGATTCCTTCTCTATATAGTAATGGTTCTCTAGGCTGGGATCTTTGAGAGAAGAGTCTTAGGTTATTGTTCAAACAACTTTTATTTCCTGCCTCTGACATTCCCCAGGGTTACAGAACAGGGGACATCTGAGCCTCATGGTCCATGAATGAAGCAGACACTGTAATAACAACTGAGTCATTACAGGGGAGGAATCTGGAAGTATTGGGGTGATGCACCCAGCTGCAGATGGCAAAGCTACTAAAATTCAGTCAAGTTACCTTTGGGATGAAAACTGGAGAGGCAAGAAAACTATACAGTTGGTGTCATAGATCTGTCCCATCCCATTTATCCCCTCCCCCTTCAGTCTCCATAAAGTCCATTCTATCCCCCAGACTGATCCTAGTGTCCAGCTAGCTCACTGCTGAAAGAGAGAGGGAGGGAAAAGATGTCTGAGGTCTCTTCATTTTCTTTGTCTCTGTCCCTAAGGCAACAGGAAGCTGAAGCTGCTGCAGCCGGCCTGGCAGTGATGGCAAGCCCATTGGCTCTGCAGAGTGAGCAGTCCCTGGAGAAGCTGCCAGTTAGACGGCCCAGAGTTTTGATAGACCTCATTGCTTCGGTTCAATGCCAAGTGTTGGACGTGTTGGATTCAGTTCCCAGAGGGCTGGAACATGGTGTCAGGGCTGTTTGAAGACAAGAAAGCAGAGGCAGTTTAGTGCAGTTGGAGGTGCAGGGTGTGCATGGAGGGCAGCGGGAGGAGGGAGAAACTAGCCAGGAGGGAGTAAGGCGATGCTTCTCCTTCCAGAGCCTTCCAGACAAGGTCTCCTGACCTCTTATCTGGGCCTCAGGTGAGGTGAGCCCTGCAAGGGGAGGAGAGGACAAGAGCCGCGCCCAGGGATAAGCAGAGATGAGGAGGGCGCGAGCGAGCGAGGGAGCTGAGGCTGTGATTCTAGACCCGCTCAGCGCCCTGGGCGAGGGCAGGCAATGCCTCTGGAGCGAGCTGGAGGCGGCCTTCGGGCGGGGGTCCGGTGGCAGTCTCAGCATCCGCGGCCGGGATGCCTCCCGGAGCCCATTCGTGCTCGGCGCAGGCCTGAGATGGTTCATCCTTGGCCTCGACGAGCTTTCGGGAGCGGGTGTAGGCCAGGATGAGGCCTCCAGCCAGGCAGGCATAGAAAATCATGATGAGCAGGATGTAGAGATAGGCGTCGTCGCCCTTGGCACTGGTCACCTCGCGGCCCACGAAAGGATCAGGCACGACCCCCATGCCCATGCTCGGGCCAGGGCCGGCGCCTAGGCCGCTGGCGTTGCCCCGATGGTGCAGCTCGAGCAGCAGGCGACTCAACAGGGTTCGCAGCCGTTGGCTCTCGCTGCAGTTCATGGCTGTCGGGGAGTGACACGGAGGCTCCAGGACGCTGCTGACCTTTCCCCCTGGACAAGGGGAAGCGAGCAAGCGGGCAGGGCGCAGCGACGGCGACAGCGGCGGCACCAAGCTCTGGGGCGGGCAAGCAGTGGCTAGGGGCGCGGGCCGCCGGGCCTCCTTATCCCCTCACCCCCCGCCCCTCCTCCCCGTCCCCACCACGCCCCCTCCGGCCCGAGGCTGCCTCTTCCCAGGCTCCGGCTGTCTCGCCGCTGGGGGAAAGGGGACAGCTGGTGGGGGAGGAGAAGAGGAACAAGGGAGGGGGCGAGCCCAGAGGAGAGGCGGAGAGGGAGGGGGCGGGAGCTCGGAATGCGGGAGGCCCCAGGCAGCCGAGGCTGGCAGGGCAGCTTGCTGGGGCCAAGCCTGGACCCAAGGCTGCGGAAGAGAATTCCTTCCAAGTTCTGGCCACCTGCCCTGCAGTCCCAGCTTTGGCCCAGATACAGCGGCTGGGCCCCCCAAGGCAAGACCTGCCCCTGTGCGCTCAAGCAAGACCTCAGATGCCTTCCGGCAGCTTTCCTATAACATGGCAGCAGTGACCCCTTATCCGTATCTCATGGTAGTTGTTCCCATGTTAAGGTCCTTGGCCTATCTTTTTCGTCCTCATACCATTTTTCCACCCCCATACTACCGTGCAAGGAGAGCCGCTCAAGCCAGATTTGGTGATGAAGTATTCAGGTACTTGCTTAAATGACCAATGCAGAGTGGGGCTCTCAGGTTGTCCAAAATGGTTGCTGGATGATGTACCAAACTTCTAGGAAGTAGTATCTTGCTCTGATCTCCTGTCACACTTTTTGAGGGGCCTGCACATTTTACCATGTTAGGGTACCATCCATTGTGGGACCCTTTTTTAGGTAAATCATCTTCCCAGAAATGGAACTAAGTTCTTCCACTAAGAGGAGCAGGAACAGCCAGGAACCATGGCACATGCCTGTAATGCCAGGGACTCAGGAGACTGAGGCAGGAGAATCACAAGTTTGAGGCCAGTTTGGGCAACCTAAGGGAATCCTGCTTCCCCTAACCCTAACCCTCAGTGGTAGAGCATCCTTGGATCCAATCTCCAGCACAGAAAAAAAAAAAATTTAAGAGGATCCAGAACATTAAAAAGACCCTTTGGCTATATTCTCTAGATGTTTCAGGGTCTGGAAAGTGCCAGTTCTAGAATTTACACTCACCTCCCTCCCAGTTAGACTAGTAGCTATGTATCTCTCCGATGCTTGGGGAAAGGGGACAGCTGGTCTAGGCCCTGATGGCTTCTGGGGAAGCCATATTTTCTCAGGGTGTTGTCTTCTTTTAGGGAAAAGAATGTGGTCAAAAAAAGGTTAGTTTAGACTATGGTAAACTGAAAACAGGCTGGGTTTCACAAAGGCAATGGGATGATTTATAGATAGTGAGGTCAAAAAAATTGAGGTAGTATTGTTCAAGTCTGGTTGAATATAGTCACCAAATGAGACTAGAAGGAAAGAAAAGTACATGCCCTTATCACACTTTGAAAACCATGCTGCCTGTCCAAGACCACTCAGTCCAGGGGCCATTCACACTACAGGTGCCATGGATTTTCAAAAGGAAGGTTTCCTGATGCCTCTGCCCAAGCCATCTTCCATCCCACTACTGGCTCAGGGGCCAGTCTCCTGTGTATTAAGGTGAGGTTTGCACCAAACTATCCAGTCTTGGGTCCTTGCTTCATAGTCTATACAGGCCTCATGACCCTGACCAGTGCCTCAATGCTTTCACTTCAGAAGGGCTCAGGGGAGATTTGTTAAAGCGACTCAGCATAATGAATGTCAGAGGACAGACACCAGCTAGGGACTTTTCAAAGCTGTAAAAACAGTACCAATCTAGGTATACCACTATTGAGCTAAAAGACTCATCTATTAAAAACATGCCCAGAAATATCTAGGGGTTTATTTAGTAGGGGGTTGGGGAGTGAATGGAGCAAATATCTCATTGTAAAAAAGAATGATCATTTAAATTTGTATTGTACTTTTCAACAGCCTTATGTACAAGTAGGATTATTCTTGTTTTCAAAAGAGGAAACTGAAGCTCTGAGTGGTTAAATAGCAGGATTAGAATTATAAAGTTTGATCTTGTTCTTCTCAGCCCTACCACGTTACTCCTGTCACATGGCTGGTATTCATGAGCTACCTCTTTTCCTCATCTCTCCCTCCTCTGGAACCTTCTAGAGTCCAATGCTTTCTACCAAAACTACTCTGTTATTTCACCTGCGACTTCCTAGGCAATTTCAAGGGTCTCTTCTCAGTTTGCCTCTTTAACCTTGACAATGAATTTGATACCATTAACCACCCACTCCTTCCTGTACATGTCCTACCCTTGGCTCTCATGGCATTGTGTTCTCAAGTTTCTCTTCTTATCTCTCTGACCCATCATTCTCTGTCTTCTTTGCTGGCTCCTCTTTCCTTCTTCCTCCCATTAACTCTTAATCCTCAGCTCTGCTCTTTTAACATCCATTTCCTTGGAAAAGGTCCCCTTACTGGTTTCACCTACTACCTGACATGTATTTAGTCAAATTTGAATCTCTTTCTCTGATTCTTTCTTGGTAGCATCTCTCAGATTTATCTGCTTCTTCCTTTCTAGTTTTATTGCCACTTGCTTAATCCAAGCTCTCATTACCTCAGGTCAAATATGCAGACTGAGAGTCTCTTGGCAGATCTCCTTGCCTAAAACCCAATACACCATGCTGTGGCTAGAATAATTCTCCTCCAACACCACTTCCATAAATTCATCCCTATATTCATAACCCCAGAGTTACTCCTAATTGTTTTTTTCAATGGAGCCCCCAATCTATGGTGGGCCTTAAATCCTCATCACCAATAGACCCCATCTTCTCTTCCTTCAAACTGGAAAAATGGCATATTCCTGGAGTTCATTTTTTTAAATACTTTTTAGTTGTTGATGGACCTTTATTTTTTTTATTTATTTGTATGTGGTGCTGAGAATTGAACTCAGTGCCTCGCATATGCTAGGCAAGCACTCTACCACAGAGCCACAACTCCAGCCCCTGGAGTTCATTTTTTTAAGAGAGAGAGAGAGAGAGAGAGAGAGAGAGAGAGAGAGAGAGATTTTTTTAATATTTATTTTTTAGTTTTCGGCAGACACAACATCTTTGTTTGTATGTGGTGCTGAGGATCGAGCCCAGGCTGCATGCATGCCAGGCGAGCGCGCTACCGCCTGAGCCACATCCCCAGGACCCCCCTGGAGTTCATTTTTAATACTCTGTGCCTTTTTCCAAATTCACTGTCTGGCTGGGGGTGGTGGCACACATCTGTAATCCCAGCACTTTGGGGGAGGCTGAGGCAGGAGGATTGCAAGTTTGAGACCAGTCCCAGCAACTTAGCAAGACCCTTGTCTCAAAATTAAAAAAAAAATAATAATAATAAGAGCTGAGGAGGTAGCTCAGTGCTAAAGTGCCCTTGGGTTCAGTACCTAAACAAACAAACAAACAAAAACCAATTTCATTATTTCATTACCTGAAGGAAACCTTGCTGCAGGCCCCTGGTCTGTGCTCTCAGATTCTTCACAAGGTGCCCCTCATGGCTCTTCCTTAACACACATTGCATCCAATGCAGAAATCTAGAAGAGCACCAAGAAAAAACTCTCCAATAGTGTGCATGCGTGTCTCCCACATGCATGTGTGTGCACTTGCACAGACACACTCACACACACACATACACACAGAGACTTGTTGCATTGCTTATCTTTCTCACTTATGAATTTTTCCCACACCATGTGCGATTTTTCTATAACAGCATTTCATTTTCTACACAGTATTTCAGACTATTAGATCTGCTGCCATCTATTTAAATTAGCCCTTATTGTAAGATTTATGTTATTTCCAGGTTTTTCTCTATTAACAATAATGTTTTATGAACACAGACATGATTACTTCTAATTCCATGAAAATAAACATTTCCATAGAGGAAAAGAAATTGCTAATTTACAGAAGCCTGGCATGGGGTGAGGTACCTAAGAGGGTGGAAACAGAAATGGGGAAATGTAAAATTGAAACAGGACCATCCCTTAGGAAAAACAACAGGTATGTATGAGGCTTCTGGCTTTCTTTTTACAGCAGAGGCTTCTGGGCATCCCTTCAAATCCCAGTCCCAGGCCAGGCCTGAATGGTTGAGATGCCATACTTAATGAAACCATGAATTCATTGCACAAATAATGTTTCTTATTCTTCCCCACCCTTCCACCCTGCTTTAATACCTGCCTCATACCTGTCAAATTATCATTGCGCAGGATTCATTCATCACTGAATGGTCATCAAATGTATTGACAAAGGGAATTAATTTATATTCATTTATTTAAATTTTTAAAAAGTCTTGGAAAGGGTTCTGATGCATGCCAAAGTTTTTTGAAAAGTACAATTGAGGCGCCATGGACTAGGAAACGCTTTCACCATTCCTCGAGACTGTGAGTGCTTCCTGCCAATAGTGCAGCTCCATGGAAGTTGGTTGAATTGAACCAAGTTGAGTTTGGCCAGTTGCCAAAGGACAGGCACAGATGGTAAGCACTGTTGGAGTCCAGGAGACTGGCAAAGCCACAGTGGGCTCTGAAGAAGGGGAGAAAAGTTTTCATGAAGTACTAAATGCAGATTGAGAGCAAATCATTTATTCATTTGACAAGTAGGAATTGCATGCTACTTTGTGCAAGGCTCTGTGCTGGGTCTTTGAGACACATCGGTGAGCAAGTCACATTGGTGAACAGTCTGTGCCTTTATAACTCTCACAGCTACTTTTTTGTGAACTTGGGACAAGCAGGGAGTGCCAGGACATGGAGCCCATTGAGCAGTCGACAGGGAGACCAGCCAGAACTCTGGTTTGTGACTCTGGACCCGAGTTCTAAGCACTTGAGTCTAAAGCCTCTTCTGGAAAAAAAAAAAAAAGACCTTAGGTGGTCTGAGCTTACCATCCTCTGCAGTGCCATCTTGAGGGTGTGCCCTGCAACAAACCAGTACAGCAGATACATTCTCAAATGATGGCTGAGAATAAATAGGACAGTTCCTAAGTCCAGCTGGCACTAATGAACATGCACAATATTGGGAAGTTACTGGGATTTGATAAAGAACA